TATTTGATTTTATTGTTACCATAATCACTACTAATGTTGTACCAAGAGTAAGTCATGGACAACCGATCAAGAGCAAGTTGGTGTTTCTTATCAGGATCAAGTTTCAGAGATGGATTAAACTTAATAGTAAAATCACCAGGTCTGCTTGTTCCTCTTTTTTCCCTATTTATAGAGGAAATGTGAATAGCTCGTTCTTCCATTTTTATATTATTGGTATATAATTTTTTAGTAAATCATTTAGTTGTTTTTTTGAGATTACTTTCATTTGGTTGAGAAGATGTGCAATTTGAGAAAACTCAGGTATTACACCATTATTCCCAGCAAGAATTGAACCACCGAGTAATTAAAGTCTTTTTAGTAGTTCTTGTGGATTGTTAAAGTAAATACCTTCCCCTACCTTATATTTAAGAGATCTTAAGTAATCTTTCATAGTATTTCTATATTTCATTAGTGTTCCTTTTTGCATTTTTTTAATTTCAGTTTCAGTTTCATATAATGGAGATGGATTTTTAGCTTTCTTTCTACCACTAATTTCACCAGTTAACTATTTTATATTACCTTTTAATTCTTCTAAAGTTAGATCTAAATCTTTAGGATTAATTTCAAAAAAATCATTTGGTCTTGGGTATCCAAATTCTTTTAATAACTCTAAATCTCTTCCTTCAAAGTTTTTTTCTAAATTTAAATATCTATCCTCTGGAGGTCTGGATTTTGGACTCCAATTTCTATCCCATCCTTCTTCGAAATCATATTCACCCAAATCTTCTCCAACATATGGTAATTCTTTCATATCAGCTAATCGGTTAAACTGTTCAAAACCTTGAGTAAGAGCAAGTTGATTTTTTTTAAGTTGAGCTATAGTTGCGTTTTGCTGCTCATCAATACTTTTTTTAATACTATCCTGCGATTTAATAAGTGGTTTAAATGTTTCTTTAAAACCCTCTCTCATATTTTGTTTTTCCCATTTTGTTATTTTTATAACATCTCTCACCTGTCGAGTCAAAGCATCAGCTTCAATTTTATTTCTTGCAAGTTTTTTGTATTCTTCAATATCCATTTTATTTAATCATTAGATAAATGGAAATACCGAACTATGATAGTGGTGACAACCCAGATAAAAAATATAAACAGTTATTTCCTTACATGCCAAAAGAAACATTCCGGATGGTAATCTGTGGAAATAGTGGAAGTGGTAAGACTAATCTGTTATATCATATGCTAATTAAACCTCTACTGTATTATGATGAAATTTATCTTTACGCGCGTAATCTAGAACAGGATAAGTATCAAAAGCTAATTCAAAAAATGAGGGAGTTGAGTAGTAAATTGGGATATGAAATACTTCATGTGAGTAACGACGAAATAACCCCGGTTACAGAAATGGATTACGAAGACAATCAAAAACTTGTGATATTCGATGACTACGTTTGCGATAAAAACCAGAGACAACTGATTGATTATTTCATTCAAGGACGACATAAGAACTGTTCGGTGGTGTATCTCAGTCAATCGTTTTATAAAACACCAAAGGACATTCGGCTAAATTGTTCTCATTACTGTTTATATGAATTTCCATCATCGAGGGAAGCCAACAGAATATCATCTGAGTTAGGAGTTAATAAAGAGGTTTATAAAGCAGCAACTAAAAAACCTTATTCATTTTTATACATTGATAAACCAAATAAACGTATTGCAAAAAACTTTACTGGTAATCTAACCAATAATTAAAATGGGAATATTTAACGAACAATCTCTTGATCATCCTTTTGCTAAGGGAATACAAGGAGCACCGGAAGTTGGATTTAATCTCACTTCAAGTGGGGATTATGATATGGTAGGTAAAAAACTAAGAAATGTTGGTGCACCTAGTGCTAATACTGATGCTGCTACAAAAAAATATGTTGATGATGATTCCAGTGGATCACCCTCAACATCACGACTAATAGTTGATTCAAACATTAATATGAAGGATAGATACCGAATTACAAATCTTATCACACCACAGGATTCTAAAGATCCAGCAACAAAATATTACGTAGACAACACATTTCTTGACAGAGATGGATCTTACCCAATGAAAGGAAATCTTAATATGGACAATAATCAAATATTAAATCTACCAGCTCCAGCTGGTCCTAAACAACCAACACCATTAGCTTTCACAGATATGAAGTATCTCCATGTTGCTGGAACAAATAAAATGACTAATAATCTAAACATGGATAGCAAAGGAATAATTCATTTAAAAACACCAACAGACCCCACAGACGGTGCAACCAAAAAGTATGTGGATGACTCAATACCTGATACTAGTTCTTTTATAAAAAGGGATGGAAGTGTATCAATGACTAGTAACCTAAATCTTGGAAACAAAAAAATAGTTGGTCTCGCTACTCCAACATCAAATACAGACGCCGCAACAAAGAAATATGTAGATGACAACACAGCTGCCCCAGATTTAAGTGATTACTTGGAAAAAGATGGTAGCGTTGCTATGACTGGAGAACTTAATGGTGGCGGTAATAAAATAATAAATATTGGTAAACCACTCCAAAATAGTGATGCTGCAACCAAAGATTATGTTGATAAACTAGTTCATAGTACAGCAGTTCAACCAAGCCATTACAACAACCAGTTTGCTTATCTCATGTCAAGTGGGGCTCAATGGACTGATGAAATAGATAGTGGAAATAGTTTTATTTTAAATAGGATAGATAACTTACCACAAAACAAAGGCAACTTTCACGATTATAATCACAAAGTAATTTATATGTATATAGTTAAAAATAAACAACAATATAAGTATAAGATGGGAATTAATTTTTACCAACTACCCGCAAATACTGATTACACGTTGTGTTTGGAAAAACTCAACACAGATTATACTCTTTGGAATAAGACTCAAATAAGTGTTGACAAAGGAACTTTAACAGGATTATCAATTGGAAATGTGGGTATAAGAAAACTATCCCATAGGTATACTGATTCAACAGGGAAAACACAAACTATGTACTACCATAGAATAATAGTTAATTTCCGGAAGTTGTCATCTGGTAATAGGTTCTTTCTTCACATTCTTGTTGATATTTCAAGAAGAGGATATAATATTTATAAATATCCAATAATTTTTCAGGGAGTTTACATCATTGCTTATGGAATTGTGGGTACATTTAGCAATATCGACCCAGATAAAGTTTACGACTATCACACCGCATTTGACATCAAACCAACAGAAGTAGTGTACAACGTTGATATAAATGCAAATCAAAAAAAAATTAAAAATATCAAACTTGACCGAAACATTAATAATAGTGCTGCAACAGTTGCATTAGTAAAAGAACTAGCTCCTCACACTAAAAATGCTTTGTATAGATTATACTTTAGTGAGTTCTATGACTTTGCTGATGCGGATAGATACGGAATAAATATAGGCTCATCTGGAGTTATTATTAATTCTTTAAAACCTAATATTACACTACCTCCTAATAAAGACCTAAGTGAAATAACGGAAAAAGGATTACATGTTAATGGTTATGATGTTAGTTTTTTTCCTTTATATTCCCCGATAAATACTTTATGTATTGTTTTTACTCATTGGAGAAATAGGAGTTTTACCCTAACTAAATTTTTATCAACAAACGATAGTAATTTAGTAAAATTGGATTATAATAAATCAAACAATAAAGTAACTTTAACTGTCAACAAAACAACTCAAAATTTTACCATGCTAAGTAGTTTTAACGGAAAAATAATTGTTTTATGGCTGGTAGAAGATTTTCATTCAAATGTCACAAAAGTTTCAATAAGTAACTACAGCGCAACATTAACTATACCAGCTATTAATTACAATACTTATCAACATTGGAAGTTTACAACTGAAGATGGAGTGTTATTAAGATTAATGTACTCTCCAAACTTTTACGACACTGACTCTACTCAATTCCACAAAGTATTGATTCAAGAAAAGTTAAGTGGAAGTTATGTAATGTAAATATAAATGAAAAGAAATAGTAGTAAAAGAAAGAGTATTTTTGAATTTAATCATATCGATAAAGATTTATCAGAAGAGCAAAGAGAAACTATAACAGACATTACCATAAATAAACTTTGTATAAATTATATAGATACTCTTTACAGAAAGTATAAAATAACAGGTGAAGAAAGAATAAAACTAATTGAACCATTTGTAGGTAAATTATTGTTAACAGATAAAAATAAAACATATTTTGAAAAAAGTAATAATTATGATCTTAAACTTGTAGAAGAAGCAATGAAAAATGAGTGTATTGATACGCAAGGAATATATGATACTCTTAAGTTTCTTGAACTTGATTATGAATTTGGAGATTTGTATTACAAAATGAAAGCATTTTTAAATATTTTTGATGTATTTAAAAGTGATTATACTTACCTTAAAGATTAAATTTTATACTTATAAGTATAAAATTATTTCTTTAATCTTTTATAACTATCCCACCACTTTTCATAATTCTCCATAGTTTGGGGGCTAATCTTAAGATAAACTAGTCTGCTCTTTTCACAACCCATCTCTTCCAAAAGTTTTTTGATTAAATAAAAAATACTTATCATTCTCTTCCGACAAAATTGTTTGTTTAGTATTTCCATGACATGGTTATCTATATTCATTAGTTTACTATATAATTCGTACTTTTCATTATCAGTTAGGTTTATTCTTTTAGAAACTTGATCAACCTTTTTCTCATAGTGATACTTTCTTTGATAAATACTCTTCTTTCGAAAATGAAATCGATCGTATTCTTTCAGGTCAAAATAACCTAATACATAGCCATTAGTTGTGCCACAGGAATCGCAAATATTATAACCTAATTCAACTAAGAAACTATCGCTTTGACAATTCTTACATTTAGCTTTCCTACTCACATCCTCTGTTTTTTTAGTATAATTATGTAATATTTCTAGATATTTTTTTATTTGCTCTTCTGTATAACTCATTTATTATTTATTATCTTATTATCTTATTATCTTAAAGCTTTGGTTTTTACTCTATCCTCTAAGACCTTCCGCTTATCATCTTCACTACTCAAAGCTATTTTATTCACTTCCTTTGAGTAAATATCATGATTTTCACTTCTTATAATTTTCATAGTTCTCATTTGCTTTTCACCAGTAAATAAACACTCAAAATAATGCTCAAAATCTATTCCTTTTTTAACAACATTCTTCTTTACACCTTTACACTTTTTGGTCGTATAACCATCTTCTATTTTGAAAGTGTAGAGCTTTGGACGAAGACCTATAAAATGTGTGATTTGTTTTCCTGCTACTTCATCTTTAAACATGCCTATTACTTTTTTGTTAAGTCCTGTTGGTATTCCAGAAGGATGATTTGATGGATAATCAGATGTGTCAAATCTATAATACACATCGTTGTATATATCTTTATAAAAATCATCTGTTTGAATTTGGTACATCAACGAGTCAGTATCTGTAAACAATAACTCAGCTTTGTCTCTATATTTCTTTTTGATATAGTTATAATGAAAATTGAACATTAGCGTTTTTGATAAATCTAGAATTGCTTGACCAACATATACTGGTTTGTTAAAATACACTTCTGTATTCTTCATATGAACAGCAATAAGATTACGATCAAATATTGTTGCTCTTTCAAAATTAGGTTTACTTGTAAGTTTAGCAGCTTTGACACGATTATCAACAAGAATTATATTCTGTCTCTTTCTTATATTTTCTATTGTCTTTCCAAAAACTGAGTTATTCATTAATTTAAAAAAGTCTTTCTCAAAACTGTTTTTAGCACACTTTCTCAATTCTGTATTTTTTCTTATATATGGCTCCATCCAAGAAGACTGATAAAATGATATTCCTCGATGAACAGCAGTAATCTTCATTCCCATTTCTAGATATTGTCTAAGATTTCGGTAATGCACAACATAGTTTTTTCGGGATTTAAAATGACATATAAGTTTTTCAACACCATTAACTTTTATATTTTCAGGTGCAAGTGGATAGTCATTATGTGATTCCCATATTTTGGATGGATACTCCAAATCAACTTCAAATATATATCCTTTCTTCCCGTGATTTGACATACTATGATTTGCGCCATCTACGATATCAATTACTTCTTGTTTTGTTATATTACTTATCCATCTAAATCCATGTGTTGGAAGACGTTGAGACATAGCCCAACCGTAAAGATTGTTTGCATCAAGATATTGAATATAACTTGATGATTTATCAGGATTATAATTTTTCATATATTTGTTATTCGCTTCTGCGTAACGCTTTGATATGTGAGTTATTCCACCACGAATACCGCGCTCAATCATCATTAACATATCGTAATCATTTAATAACTGTAAATGCTGACCTGTCTCTTTGAGACATGCATCCCAAGCTAATCCAGGAGATGTGTAATAATGAGCTGGATCTAGGTTGTAATGTTTGAGACAAGTTTTTCTAAAGTTTTCAAATACATCTGCTAAAAGTAAAACATCAGACTTTAGGTAAAGATCGTGATAATCTCTTATTGATTTACATTTGAATGTATTCCAAACGCTGATTGCGTGTTGGTAATCATCATCTGCTATATCTTCATCATTTAGCTTTGAATAGAATTCTTCTTTTTGAGGTAGATGTGTTTCTGTTAGTTTTTCGAGTGATGAAACATAGTCATAAGGATAAACTCCCTTACGAGTAAGTAGATCTACATTTTTCTTAAATATTTTTTTAGTATTATGAAAATCATCCGGTCGAAGATTTGAAACAAGATTGGCAAGTGATGTTTGAAGAAACTTGAATGAATCTATAAATCTTATTTCAAATAATATTGGTTTAATTTTTCCAGTTACACTCTTATACGACGCAACTTCAATATATTTTGAAAAGGAAATATATTTTTCTTCAGTAGATGGAATACAATTGAGTATACCTGGAATAGTAGCAAGTTGTTTGATAAACAAATGTGCGTCATAGCCTTGAAGATTGTGAAGTATAACTGGTAATACTCTTGGTTTACGACAACGAAGATTACATTCGTTATGTGCTGCTCCACGGTATTGACCTGTAAAGTGACAATGATCTCTAACTTTATCACCGTTTAATAATCCACTACAAATATGACAAGTTGACGCTTTATTGAATGATTTTTGTTCATCTCGTGAAAGTGATAGTGTTTTTGGACGGTGATAATATTTATCATAAATACTTTGTGTTACTTCTGCAATTTTGTTAACAAATATTAATGCTAAATCATCACTATCTTTGTTTTTGGTATAAGTAACTGGCACAAATGAATCTGTTATTCCTTTGATGTAATAACAAAATCCAGACGGTTCGTGTTTTTGATAATTGTAACCGTAAGATTTATTTGGATCTGGACTACAATTATTCATTGGTTTAGTAAAGCATTCAAAATCTGCATAAATTACAAAAGGAACTGGAAGTTGTTTTTCATAATTTTTGAAATATAGCATTGTTCCTTTTTCTGGCATTTTTACAAAAACTGTTTTATTGTTTGAACAGTATTTGATATGTTTTTGTAGTAATTCCGGTTTGGTATAATGTGAAAAACACCTTTTGCAAATATGAAATGATTTGTTATGACTTTTAGTTTTTTGAGACTTAATAAAACGATGAAAATGTTTGATTAGTGTGTAATGCGAAGCTCCATCTTCTTCATACAAAAATAAATCTATAGTATTCAAACAATCTCTTTCTGCCATTCTTAATGGGTAAAAAACTCTGTTTTCATTAGCTGAAAAAACATTAATTCCTGGAAGTTTAGGATTAAGTTTTTCAAACTTGGAAATATCTTTTAATTTCATTGGAAAAGTAATTCCTTTAGTAATAAGTTCATTTTCATACTTTTCCAAATCTTTTAATTTTTCTTCATGATCTTCTTTGGGGTGAAGATATCTAAGTACACACCAAAGAAAGCATTTCTCATCTTTGTTTTGAATGTTAACAATTGCTTTTTTGTTTGATATCCATTGTGGAAGTTTGATATAAGATGAACCCTTAGCTGGATTAAACTCAACAGTATGGATTTCAAGTTGAACTACTTCCTTAAGATACCATGCACTTCCTTTTTGTTGATATGCTTCTATTAATCCATTAATAGTATCAATACATAAATCTAGAATTTTGTCGATATCTGTTGATTTGATATTATTAAACGTAGCTGAAGGATAGTATGCTTTACTTTCTTCTAATGCTACAACTCCCTTACCTTGTTCAATAATTTGTTTTTCCATTAAACAAACTAAAATCATCTTAAATTTTATATTTTGATGGTATTTTAGAAAATTCTTTAAAGTTTCCATTTTATCTCTAAAAAACTCATCTACAGTAAATCCAGGTTCTCCTTTGATAACATATTTGTTAGCAAAATATTCTAAAGCTGATTTTTCTCTTATAAGACCTTGATCGTATTCAATCATTGCTCTCTCAAGAGCTTTACGCATATAAGTAGGAGTATCTGCTGGAATTTGTCTATTTTTTATACATTCCTCAAAATACTCCTCAAACGATTTAATCTTTTTATTTTCCTTCTTCTTTCTTTTTTCCCTAAATTCTTTTTTTATATCTATACCTTTTTGAACTTTTTTATTAAGTTTATCTACTCTTCTAATATCACGTATTATTTTTTCTTTTTCACTTAATTGTTTTTTATAACTACTACTAAGATCTTTTTTCTTTTGACTTAAAATATATTTTAATTGTCCCAAAGATAAACTCTTATATTCATCATCTGTTATAAAGGGTTGAGAACCCTGAAAACCACTTTCTTGGTTAGACATGACGTCTTATAATATTAAGATTATATTATAAGACGAAAATGTTTAAGCTGTAATTAGTCAGAATCTGAATCTTCATTAATTTTTTTACTTAATTCATCAGTTTTTTTATTTATTATATCATTCTTTCTCTTCATTTCATCAATTTTAATCATGTCATTTAATAATTCTCTTATATAGAATCACTCCTTTCGGAATTGGCCTACATACTCAGGAATCTTATCAATTTTATTTTTAGAAGGGCATTTTAAGATAATGTTCGCAGTTCCCACTCCCATTACTACTCGTGACCAAACACAAACAGAATCTGGATTCTGCATCTGGATTCCGGAATCCGAGAAATTTGGCTGGTGGAATCCGGAATCCTGGGCTTTGGAAGTCGGAATACAGCTCAAGGAATCCAGAATTCCACTACTGATGACAATCCAGAATCCAAGTTCCACTGAATTCCAGTACCAGGAATCCAGTATCCAGGGCGTGGAATCCAGAATTTAAGACTGTCTTGGATTTCCTTACTTCAGATGGGGCGAAATAACATGTGGTTCGGCAAGAATCTTAAGAATCTGAATTGCTTCCGTCCTCATATAAGTTTTGTGCCCTCTCTCTCCCCTCCCCTAAAGGAAATTTAGTCCTTCTCGGTCACAAAAGTAGCCAGTGTTTCATCCCAGCTAGGAAGTGTAGTCAGGCTAATATGTTTGGATTTCAACATACTGGCCAAATTTTAGGAACCGGGTGGAATCGAGAACTGGCGAGCTCTAAGAAAACGTCTGCATCCGTAAGAGCAATCCAAGATCATCCAATCCTGCATCTAAATAAAAACTTCTTTTGTGTTAAATTCGTGAGAAATGTTTTTTGTCTGACTTTGTTTTCTCTTCTTATACTGTTGCTGTTGTCTATTATTTCTTGATACCCTCTTTTAACTATTTTAGTATCAAAAGGGGCGATTTTTTTTATATTTATCATTGAAATAATTTTCCCCATCAGATAGCGTGGAGCCTGTCCCGACAAGCCACTTCCGAGAGGGATAAAGTGGTTTCTCCTTATAATCACCTGACCGAAAGCCGCAAATCAGAGTCGCCTACAAAGCAGAGCGGAAATAGACTTTGAAAATAACCACGGTCAAAGAAGAGCCGGAAGAGTGGTGATCACGAGGTTTCCGATAAGGCATATATGATTTCCAATTTTAACAGTGAGAGAGAGTTTGTGTCTATGCTAAACTCCAAGGCCTTAAACTCAGCGATCGTTGATGTCGAGCTATCTGCTATTAGCCTTGCAGTATGTTTTACAAGGGACATTATATGGACTTCAAGTCAGATATCTTCCTATTATCCTACGCAAGACCGGGTCATCTCTTTTCCTTGTGGGCTCACTGAATTTGTTGATATTTCCTTGGCTAGTCAAATCTCTTTGGGCACCTATCATTGATGCTTACGGCGATAAAAACACATGGCTGTCTTTGAATTACGCCGGTATAGCAGTTTCCCTGTCACTGGCTAACACCAACGCTGGATTGATATTTGCCTCGTCTCTGGTCATGCTTAATTTTTGTTCCGCGACAATTGATCTCACTCTCGGAAAAATACTTATAACTGACCATCATGGCAACGAACTCTCCAAAGCCAGCTCTGTTCAAATCATCGGCTACAAAACCGGATTTCTGTTCGGTGGAGGTTTAGCCTTGGTGCTGGCAGATATCTATTTCATAGGTAAGGAAATTCTCGTCTCACTCTCCGCAATATATTTAATCCTGTCACTTGCGTTTTGGGTCACGAAAAGATCTGCTAAACCGGAAGTTGTTCACAAACCGGAAGTGGAAACGAACTTGTTACAAGGCGGTCCGAGGATGACTGGATTTGCACGCTCTTCTGAATTTCAATGGATGATAATCTGTGCATGCGTGTACAAATTCGCCTCACATTCGTCACAGTCGTTATTAACCATGTTCTTGGTGGACGATGGAGAGACCATAAGCCGCCTTGGTTTTTTGTCTGGAGTGGCTGGTCAATTCATATCCATTGCTATAGCCTCGGTGACCGGGATGATCTTGGCTGCTAAATGGTAAGACCATAACAAATTATCAATGCGACCTCCATTTGATTATTGTATGTGTTATACGTGTAACAATTCTTTGTCCAAGGCAACTGCCCCATTAGATTCTGCCATCCCTGTCGATGTTTGACCATCATCCTGCCGAGACTGAAAGTGCTTGGGGTGAGTGTAGTGAGCATACCCTGCTACGGCGGGAGTCTGAGTGAGGGTGAGTCGAAGAGATAGAAAAGAGGACGGCTGAAACACGAACGTGTCCGACCACTGACCGAAAATTCAGCGCTTCATGTTCAACAACGGCTTCAAAACGCTTTGTTGAAATTTAAACCTAATATTAATTAGGGTGAAACATTGTCGCTCTAAGCTACAATATCACTGTGTACATTCAAAATACGAGGTAGTTATAGTTAGAATAGCAGGCAATTTTCTGAAGAATAATTCCTTGATTACTGTTTAGGATGACTCCCACGCAGATGGTTTTATTGTCGTCTTTGCTGACTGTATGTTCAGTCTGTGTACAGCTCTCTGTGGTTTGCTCCAACAACACCAAATATATCGCCTTGGGTAAGTGTCCAAATAGCTACTACACTTACGAATCTAGGGGTTTTTGCATTCGTCGAGGACGATGACAATTGTATTTAAAAACACACTTAGTTTAATTGTTGAAAAGACTTCTCTTTACTCCTTACAGTGTACATTTTACTCAACGTGGTTCACGGATCCCAGGCTACTCCAGTTTACACTCTTATGCTACGATGTTCCCAGAATGCACCACCGTCTTTCCGTACCACTTGTTACTCGTTTCTTGGCGCGCTAGAGATTCTGGGTAAGCAATTGTCTTTGTTTCTTGCGGGAGTAATAGCAGAGTTCTTTGGTTATGTCGTTGGCTTAAGCATATCACTCACGGTTTCTGTTCTCGTGGTATTATTGGTCTGGAAGTGCCCAAGACATCTACGAAACACGCAGTCTTAGGGCTGGTACAGAATATAGCTGAACTATGCCGCTGATATTCCCGGGGAACAGATATCATGCAAGCATCGAGCGAGACATTCAGCCACTGGTAACAAGCGTTGAAAAACTTTAGCCTTCAATCATTGGGGAAGAATACTTCGCTTCTGCCGACCAAGTCTGCGAGAGGCCTCTTGTCTTTACCCTCCCCGCTAAAGACATGCAACTAGGGGGGGGGGGGGG